ATACCGCGATCGGTTGTGTTTGTGCTGTGCCCGTGCCCGGCCGCACGGTGCCCCTCCGCATACCGCGATCGGTTGTGTTTGTGCTGTGCCCGTGCCCGGCCGCACGGTGCCCCTCCGCATACCGCGATCGGTTGTGTTTGGGCTATGCGCGTGCCCGGCCGCACGTTTGGCTGTGGCTCACTACTCCCAAACTCTCGGAAAGTTAGCAAGTTTGGCATGTTCGGTTGAAGCAGTTATTAGGAAATTCTCGTGAGACTCATAAGACCCATAGGAGATGTTTATGATATAATTTATTAATGTAAAATTATTTTGTTATATTTAAAATGCATATGATTACATTATTGGCCGATGGTATCACTGTTTTTATTACTTATTTTGTTTGGCATACGTTACTGAGCTTTGGAGTCGCATTCCCCTAGCTCTGCTTTTCCCATTGGATATGCGTATTTTAGTACGCGATTTTAATGAACGTGAGGTTTTTCAGTAACTTGCATTGTAGCAAGACTGACTTAATATGGTCTTCATCAGCCCTTGCAGAACACAGAACACTATGCCCTCAGCCCTGCTGGTACCATCTGGAACATCATACCTTCATCTTCATCATCTATCTGGCCTTTAGTTTCTCTAGAGTAGAAAGCTCTTCTCAAAGTCTTCCTTTCAAGGACAGTCTGGTTGTCCTCTTCAGTATCCTACAATACAAAAGAAACAAGTCTGATTATTAAGTTTTGCAGTAACTGAAAGTTAGGAATCTGGCTCAAACGTTTATGCTATGCTTAAGGTTCACAATCTATAATTCAAGCAGAAGTCTTCCAAAAGTGATCTGAATACCAGACATTTTATATAACTGGGTATTTACTGAAACACCTCAGGTTACATGCATTGCTGCACCATGACACGTGACAAGTAATGTCCGGTTCAGCTCAAACTCCCATTTACAGACTAAGGTGACATTAAATTCAGAAAAGTGCCCGTTCGCATGTGCCTGCTTCTGCCTTTCCCGTAACCATTACGCCACATGCTGCATGGGAATGACCTTCTCCAGCTCCTGGTCCTGCCTGTTCATGAGAGTCTTCCAGTGCTCATAGAGCTCCACGTCCTTGTTCTGGATGTCCTTCAGGGTTCCCTCTCTCAGCACAGAGCCATCCTTCATAGCAATGATCTGAATCAAGAGGCAGCAGCCGACAGAATCATTTATTCTATGGAGAACCAGTATCAATCACGCTTAATATATTTAAACCTATTTTAATACGGAATTAACTGTTTATTTAATTAAATTTTAAAAATGCCCATCTGTGGAGCATTACATATTCTTCCTGGTGCCTTGGGTTGTGTTCAGAGCAGGTTGCTAAGCCAAAAAACAGACAGACACAGACAGACAATGAGGTCCCGCAGGACCGGTCTACATCCTCCTTCATCTTCATCCAAGTGGCCCACACCCACCCAGTCTGCGTGGATCAGGTACTGCAGCTTGTGGGTCACCAGCACCATGGTCCTCCTGTCTTCCTGCAGGAACTTCAGAATGCCCTCCTGCATCAGGTGGTCGCTCAGATGGATGTCCAGAGCGGAGAAGGGGTCGTCCTGGAGCAGACACGGTGGGTTGGGCAGCTTGTGACAAAGTCAGCTCTGTTCACAACAGCTGCCATCTAATTATTTTGCGGTTTCACTAATTAAAAAGCCTTTCAGATCAGAGTAATATGGATTTACTGTGGAAGAAACTAGATAGTCACTAAACTCTGGTAGACTTTGCATCATACACAATAACATTTTACTCTGGCAATAGTGCATCTGTTCCTTACCGGATATGTATATTAAATACAGACACTCCCCAGGTTATGAAGGTCTGTGTTACGATATTTTGACTTTACGATGTGTATTCCATTTACGTTCTGTTGTTCACTTTCAGTACATTATCCAATAAATTACAAGAGATATTCAACACTTTATTATACAGTAGGTCTCGTGTTAATGGTGTTGCCCAGTTCCAGGCTAATGTAAGTGTTCTAAGCATGTTAAAGCCAGGCTAAGGCCAGCCATGAGATGTGTAAGGTTTGGCCTGCTGTATAAAAAGGTTTATCGGAACGTAACTCCATCACAACCTGTGTGTGTGTGTGTGTGTGTGTGTATTTTATCTTGTACAGTACTTCCTATGTGTACCCGCATTTGCCAAGGAAAAATACTGAATTAAAATCTGTTGTGGCCACAGGAAATAATCTGAGAAAACAAACTAATGACAGAGGACTGTGATGTAAAGCATTTCCTTCTGGGGTAACACGACACCAGTGCACTGCTGTGTAGACAGATGGTAGGAGATGCTTTCACTGTGACGGTTTCTGGCAGAGGGCTGTGGAGCAGACCAAGCCCAGCTCCCTTGGCGTGAGAATCCTGATCCATCCAACCTGCTTGTCTGGAGAATCTCCCTGTTTCCACTGCACAAAAGCTGGGCCAACAATCTCATTCTAACTACTGTCTCCAAGCAGTGTCCCCATGTGACCTTCGACCCCTCTACCCACAAATGCCCTTGCCGTTTCGGAATGTGCGGCGCTATCTCAACTGGATGCCTAACATGCTATCTAAGCTTGGCTACAAAACTCATATTTCCAAGTAATCATGTATATCTGCTACTGACACGCCCCCGAAATGGACAATGTTGACTTCCTCTTCCTCTTGAAGACGTCATACCAGGTTTTTCCCATCCTCCTCCACACACACACACACACACACACTCCACAAGCTATGCTGAGCTTGCAATCAGCTTAGCGAAGCTCACCAGGAAGACGATGTTGGTGTTCTGGTAGAGTGCTCGAGCCACGCAGATCCTCTGTCTCTGGCCTCCACTTAGGTTAATCCCCTGAAGGAAACACATTATGTCAACATGGAAAAACCATTATTAAAGAAGCAATAATAGGAAGGTATTAAAAGCTAACTGAAGACTCGAATTTACACCCTGCAAAAGATCCATGCTTGTCCTTAATGGTACTTTTCAAAAATGGTCCATAATACAATTTTGTTTAAAGAGTCTACATCACCAAGGTAGCAGGGTTGGGTCAGGTCCAGGGGGTTAGAATCACAAGACACCGAAGGGGAGGATTCCTACCCTTTCTCCAATTTCAGTCTGGTCTCCAAAGGGCAAGAGGTCTATATCCGGCTGGAGGCAGCAAGCATCGATGACGGCCTTATATCTGGAAAATGAGCGTTCATCACTGACCTGGGACGTCCCAGGTATGGCTTACGACATCACCTCCACCACAAAGACGCACCAAGACCAAAGGGCATCCTGGTCTCATGGCTAAAATGTAAATCACTTACAGTATCACACCCCTTTGAAATACACAATCAAATTCTATGTGAAGCTACATTAAAATTTAGCACTACGACATTTCTTACCAGAATCGTTATAAATATGGGTACTAACTCCGCCCACCATTCGTGGCATGAAGAAATATAAATGGTAAATGCACTTTCACTTGTGACATCATTTTACAATGAAATGCAGTATTGAAAGAATGCTCTGCAACAGACCCCCATTTTCCTCACTCAGGGATACCTCTGCTTGTTGAAAGGGCTTCCAAACGTTATGTTTTCCTCCACGGTGGCATTGAGCAGCCAGGACTTCTGGGTTGCGTAGGCCACAGAGTTTCTGTTCTTGCTGAAGTGTGGAAAGAGATGCAGAGGAGTGGGCGTGAGGAAGGGAGACGGACCTGAGAGAAGGTGCTGGAAGGTAAACCTGAGGCAGGCTTCAAAGCAAGGCACATCAAAAGCGATGAGGGCAACGAGCGACTCCACAACGAGAGAACAGCAGGCACGCACTGATGGGATGCTGAAGGAGTCAACACAGGTCAACACCGCTGAACAGACGAGTCAATGCTGAGAGTTAAAAACTGCTTATTGGCTCTGCATAGTTCAGTAAAAACAAAACAACTACAAGAAATGATTGTTACTCCAACCAATTTATCTGTTCACCCACAGTTCATGCCATGCGTTGCTCCCCCAATTAAAGGAAATGTTTGCCCCTTCAAACCAAGGGTAAAAGAAATCAGATCTTCCAAGACAAAAAAGAAGCATGTATGGATATGGATGTGAAGATGGGACACCCCTGAACCCAAATCCTTATAAGGACATCTGCCATGAAGACCTGGGGAGGTGGACCCGATAGTTAATGGAGGTGAGGGCGGATGGGGTTCGTTTCAAAAGAGGAAGTGAGAAAGGGGTACCTCGCAGAAGCGTCAAAAGTTGGATCCATGTCGCTCCAACTGTAAGTCACGTCAACACATTCGAGGAAACCAAAAAGACACTTTTCATACTCACAATAATATAGTCTTCTAGATGGACAGTGAATGATTCACTCCATCTTTATCAGTGTCTCAGTTCAGTAATTGGATTTTTAAATTATAGTGTTTTTCTGTTACTGCATAATTGGCAAGCTGTGACATTTCTCACTTTCTATGGGTGCAAAAATCCATCTGTTTGATATAACTTTTTAATTTGTTTTCCTGCGCCTTCCTGCTAAATTTCATTAGCTATGTCGTAACTGTCTCTGACCCGTCATGTGGTGCGAGCATAATTGAGTTATGGCCTCTCCTAGGACAATGTACGCATGGGTGGTCTAACTGGAAGACAGAATGGGAAGAAAACCCATGAGGAAATACCTTATAGTCCCCTCGTGGACCATCTCACACTCAGGCAGTCTGATTCAACAGAGAACCAAAGAGAAAACAGAACAGACGTGGCCTTGGTTAGTGTGATGACCGAGAGACTCTTAGGCGTGCTTCAGCTGTCAGAAGGCCCAACACCTGTCCAACAAACCCGCGTAACCTGGGCTATGTAGCCCTTTGACTAAGGTGGGTTCACAGCATCCAGGGTTTGGTGCTCGCATACCAAAACTGAAGCCCCTAAACTCAAGGCCCTATCAACTGCGGTCATGAAGTGCCACTAAAAGCCACCCACACAAGAGGCCACAGGAGATGACGGCACACCTCCATCTTTAAAGTGGCTGAATGCACAACACTGCTGACACGAGCAGAATGGAAATATCAGGCACATTTCAAGGCGGTTTAGATGTTTCAAAATGCAACACATTCGACTGACATTAACATTAACCATGTGATGTTAACCATTAACTACAATATTATTTGCTAAACATAAGCTAAGACACTATGTGACTTTAAAAGTAATGACATTTACCTGAAATCAAACTGCACACTCGGCAATTATCTATACATCAATAATGTGGAACTCAATCGCTGATGTGTTAGTTCTAGCTGCAAAACAGTTCTGATTCCTAACAGGGATCAGAAGCAAAGCAAAGCAGGAACACATAGAACCGTCTCTCGACACAAATCCTCGGGGAGAGTATGGATCGAGGGCATTATTATAGCAGGAAGTGGGCTTGAAGGCCGGGGGGGGGCAGGGGGTGTTTGGGTTGCACTCAAAGGAATTGAATAAGAGTGGGAAAAGTTTCAGGGGAAATCTGACGGCCCAAGCACCCGCAAGGAGGACAAAAACCAGAGCCGTGGAACAACTGGGTGGGAATCTAGCTAGAGATCGAGAAAAACCCAAAGAACCATATAGCATGATTGAAAAGACTTGAGAAGAAGACAAGGTACAGACAGACGCTCAAAGGAAGCAGCTTGTCACCTCCCAGTCCGAGCAACTTTCCTTAGAAGCGTTGACGTCAAACTATCGACATCAGTTAAACAAGGAAACTCAGTGAGTCAATGACTTCATATTTCCAAAGAACTACTGTCAAGATGTATTACAGTCACTACTGCGTAGATCTGAAACGATAAAATCTAAAGGCTCCTCTTTTATATTTCCCATCTGTAATGCATAGATTATCACCAACAAGTGGCACAATGGAGCATTTGCAGCTTAGGTCCGGTTTGTGTTCTGAAGGACTGTCTACTGTCTGCCCTCGATCGACTTGAGATCAGTGGAATCCAGCAGCACTTACTTGCTCCAATACACTTCGCCTCTGACAGTCTGCATCTCCCCAAGCATGGCCAGTAGGAGTGAAGACTTTCCACAGCCCACCTGGCCCACGATCATGGTCAGTTGCCCTGGGGAACAAGCGGAACTTGAAATATTTTTAGAGAATGGAGGATTATTTAGACCAAAGCAGACCTAGATACAGGAAAATAAAAAGACGCAACCCAATAAACATTATGGTTTTTTTCACCTGCATTTTGAATACAGGCTGTCATTTTAATTCTGCATTAACCAGAACGTCTGTATAGATGTTCTACCTACTGAAACAGATGCTTGTAGCTGGGTGTTGTAGGATAAAACAATGAGATTCTGCTGAATGTGAATAAACGTGAGGGAGCTGTAGGACAGTTGGGAGGGGATGTGTCTGCTAGCTGGTGTGGAAATGACTGGAGAACCCTCACAAGGTAGAACGGTAACACTTGAAGCTCTATAATGCACTATAGATACCTTCATAATGCATTACAATGGTTGGCATAAGAATTAATAAAGCATTAAGGCATCTTCTATTGACAGCCATAGGGCATTATAGTGTCTATTATAATACTTCATAAGCTCCAATGATGCTCTCATCAATAATACACTATAGATACCTTCAGAATTAAGTATAATGGTCAGTATTAGAATTAAGGATGTTTTGTGCTACATTATCTATAGTACATTATAGATGACCGCTTTGTAAAGCATTCATAATGAACATTATAAACATGCCCATAATGTGTTATACCTTTTTGTAAATATTTGTAGTCATGTTTCTTATGCTTTATGAATGCCTTATAATGTGTCATGAATGTGTTCATAGATTCTTGTAGACATGGAATTCACAGAAAGTGTTATTTTTGGAACATGGAAAGCGAGGTCTTGTATGACCCTCACCAGGAAAAGTGGTTGGAAAAAACACCACGGTAAACTGACTTACTCATTGCATTTCCGTTGATATTCCCACAGATGCCCAAATGTCACAAACTTTCTGATAAATGGCCCGCTTTTGTTCAAAGTCAGAGGTCCGGAACAATTTTCAGTAACAAAACAGCATTTTATGAACTTCAATGAATTAACAATAACTTTCCATATAGACATCAACATATAAGCGTACTGATTCATCAGGTTCATTATCGCCTGGGTCCGGATTAACTTGCAGTTTGGTCTGCACCAGGACCACGGCCGGGACTTTGAGAACCCCTGATCTATATTATGTTACGTGTTCTGGCCCTTTTAGGCAATGTCAGTATCATGTCAATGGGTTTTCATCTTACTGTAAGCAATGGAACTGGATATCTGTCCGGAAGTCATGAAACAACACCGGAGAGAGGCCACCGCAGGCAGCTCGCGGGACACGGACACGGACACGGACACGGGGGCCCGCCACCCTCCACATTACCTGTAGGGATGCAGATATTGATGTCTGACAGCGTCGACAGGTTGCCCCCCCAGGTGAAAAAGCCGTTGGTCACCTGAGAAAATAAAAAGGTTGGCAAAGGAAAAGACATTACGAGGTATGGATTTTTAAAGGGGAAGTCCTACTGTGACTCGTGAGTCATGTGAGTCATATTGATAAATGAGCTTTCAGTTACCTCCTCAAGCATTTGAATTACTTGTAAAATGTAAAACTGGGTTTGATTAAGTTAAATTTAATCTAATCAGAGTATTGTTAGAAACAGGCTTCAACTCCAGTGAAAATACACAAATCAAACCCCACCAATTAACAGTACGATGAAGTAAAATGAAAAGCATCTTCTACTTTTTAGTCTGAAAAAGAAAATCTGCACCATTTTCACTGAGCTTTTGTTTACCTATTTTATTTCAGGTCCAATCATCTGCCTAAACTCTCCTAACTCCATCCTTTAATGTGTAGCACAGAATTTGTACTGGGGTGAAGAACCTACTCAGATTCCCATTATTGTGTTTGTGAGAAAAAAAGAAACAAGCTGAAAATAAATTAGGAACAGATGCGCAATATCCTGAGAAAATGCACTGTGGTTTTAAAAGTCAGTGTAGAAACTGAACAAAATGTCAGAACAGCGTGTATTATTATAACGGCACGCTGGGCTGACATGTCGCGAGGCACTTAGAGCTCCACCGGGGTCACTGGGTTCATTGTCACAGTCAGGCTTCCATAGGGAACAGAGGTCAAAGACCAACGTTTATGTCAAAAACAAACAGTTATTGTAGTTATCTTCTTTCTCATGAAACCCTGGACTTGTCGCTGTGGGCACTTAAACACACTGACCCAGGGAAAGGATGGACTTCCTGTTGCCAAGGAAAGGACGCTCTGAAGATATCAGAGTTATATATACACATCGTCATGCACTGTATGAATAAGCGAGTGATAAGCAAAGAGCAAAGCTTACTCTGAGTAATTAAAACGGGCTCACGGGACAAGCGTGTGCGTCATGTATGTGCGCTTCTGCGATCACGCAGTGTGGGACACGGGGCCTGGGAATGACCCCCAGAAGAAGCGCACAAACGACGGTGACCTCTGACCTTGACGGCGGCGTCCTCCGTCTCGCTCGGGCGCAGATTCCTGCGCGCCGGCTGCTCGTAACTGTCGAGCTGGTAGCGGAGTGGCTGCTTCCTGTTCACCGCTTTGGTCTGCCACGGGGGGGAAGATACGTGAGAAGTTTGGGGCCGGAAGGAAGCCCCTAGCTCAAGAGACCGTGCTCAAGAGGGGACGTCCCAGCACCCTAACCCCAGCCTCCCCCCACTCTTTCGACAGCGCTTCGGAGACTTTTCTTTTTTTGCCTGGGAGAAACTTTCGGAAGGAGCCGTTTCCCACTAAACGCAGCTCCTGGCTGAGAGCTTCCAGCAGCAAATTGGTTTCATTAGAATTCTTCACAGCTAGAAGGCAAGGCAGCTTATACCGGTTTGAACATACAGCTACACATTTAGCTATATGTTATGTTTACCAGAGGAATGCTCACATAGCCACAAACCGAATAAACAATTTATCCAACTAAATGAGCGAATAAATTATGATAACGACCCCATCAGGCTTGCATGCAAGTCTGCTGTTGGTCTGAGTTATTCAAAACTGAAATAAAATCCAGTTCCTCTCGAGTGAGTCAGCGGACCCAAATTAGAGGTGGTAAAGAAGGGGAGAGGGTGCGGGGAAGCCCGGGCTGGGGGGGGGGTCCCGACTCACCCCTCCTGGATGCTTCTTGCAGGAATCCAGGGAGACAGACATGTCCCCGTTTCTCCAGCTGTCCTCACCAATCTCGTCACTCTGGAGGAACTCGCCCAGCTTCTGCACGCTGGCGAGACATCGACACGCGGTCATGCTGTCATGGCGACACACGTCTCTCTTCCGGCCGCCACCCCCCCCCCCCCCCCCCGATGAGTCGGACCCACACCTCAGGACATCAGCTAGCATTTCCCGAGCCTGCCTCCAGTGGATTTATTAAAGAAAATCCTTGCGCTTTTTCAGGCCTACGGCTCAAAAGTCCATTAACATTCAAGCTGCACCATCAACTATTGATGTTCTCCAGTGGCCCAGTTATTATAGACAATTTCTGCTGAAGAACAGAGAGTTTAATGTTACTGAGAGAAGAAAAATGCCACAGGTGGTGAGATTATTATGTGCTGTCAATCACTGACTCCTCACGGCCTTAAACAGCTACTGACAGAACACAGCATTCTTAAACTGTGTGGCCACTGCCTCTAACTGAGGCCCCTGCAGCCTTAAAGGCAGGCTCGTAGACTTCTGCGGATAATGAATCTTTCATACATGCAGAGTACCGCTGCAGATAGTAAAGACAGCTGGAAATATGTGTTTTGAAGGAGTTTCTGACGCATCAATAGGGTGTGTTGGGCTTTGCAAACAGATACCAAAACAGCCTGGGATATCAAAGCTGAATAAATTATTACAATGATTGGGGGCTGCCTCACCTGACCAGGGCCTTGACTGCGAATCTGACCACGGTGGAGAGAAGGAAAAGGGGGGTGACCAGAATGTGGAAGAGAGCCAGCGAGGCGAAGGCCACGGAAGGGCTGAGCACGTCTCTGCTGGTATAAGCGTGCGTGACGAAGGTCTGCAGCCAGGGGGCGCCGCCATGGAACCCGAGTCCACAAAATCAAATAATGAATGAATGATACCTCATTCACACCGCAAAGCTGAAGCATCTCAAAACTGTTATGAGGGCAGAAGCAAACAAACAAAGAAACAAACAAACGATGGACAGAAGGTAGATTCTGAAATCTAAGCTGCAAGACGGGTCTTACCGCGAGTACTGCCGCTATAGGGATGGCAGCATTTATGAAAACTGAGTGAAGAAGGAGATTGAGGGTTACTGATGCTTAGCACAGTGAACGGTGTAAAACAAGCGTGATGTACTTTTGTAGCTGGTCATCTGAGTCTATTCCCCAAAACTAACCTGCCCAACTTTGAGTTCAACAACCCTACAAAGTATACGTTCTTCATGACTGGAAATCTCATTATTTGTTAGGTTCAAAGCAAGAGTGATCATCCCATATATGGTGACATTAGGAGATTGTCACTGGTTTTGTTAATACAGTAATGAAGGGGCTGCATTCCGCAAGGACCCCTGTGTACTGTTAAAGCCCCTGATATTCAGCAAGCCCCTCACTGGACATGGAGGTGTAGAGGGCAAAGGTCTTCAGGCTGGTGAGCTCCTTCTTCCGGGTGTGCTCCACGCTGTCGCAGAAGATGTTCTCCCAAGCGTACAGCTTGAGCAGCTTAATGCCCTTCAGGATCTCCGTGGTCTTCTTCAGCCGGTCTGTGGAATAATCCTTGGAAACACAGTACAGGACCGAGTGGGCGGGGGGAGTGGCTTAAAGGGTTCAGCAGGTGACATGGGAACATCAGGGGATCCTAATTCCTCCCACAACAATATGAGAGCTGTCAATCATCTTTTAAACAGAACTCAACCAGAAAAGCTAGTATGGAGCTGCCAGGGTATGGAGCAGCCAAGGTACGCACCAGCGTGCTCTTCTGCGTGTCTGCCAGCTTGGTTGCGATGAAGTACTGCACAGGAGCCAGCAGCACGATGACTGAGGCGCCTATTAATGCACTGTATCCCAGCAACTGGTATAGCAGAATCACGCCCATGATGATCTGAGGAACCAAACACAGCTCAAATCCACAGCACCAGCCGAAGAACCACCAGGTTTGACTAACGCTACATTCATTTTAAACATAGTAATATTTCCTAAATGTGATAAGTTGCTCATTTGATCTGGTTGCTTTATGCACATATCTTCTTAAGATCTATACTGGACCGCAGGAGGAAAAGGTACAGGATGTGTCCAGGTACCTGCACTGGCATGGCCCAGAGGTTGGGGCACAGGAACAGGAACCACATCAGCTGGTTGGTCTCTATAGCAACCAGGTTGTTGATCTGGCCCAGGGTCATCTCTCCCATGGACATGTTGGATGTAGACAAGCGCAGGATCTTGTTATAGATCATGGCCTAAGACAAAGCAGGATCACTGGAGTGACTCATTAACCACACTTAACATCTACTTTACCAAACAGTTCACTTCAGTTTTCTTCCAAAGCATTCCCAGACTCGGCAAAAACGATGTTTAGTCTTCAGTTAATTGTATGTCAAATTTGGCGACTTTATACTACACCCGCATTCATAAGACCACTTCAATGGAAATATGTCACTCTCTTCAACTCTAGCCCACTGGAATCCCAGGCTCTTAAGTGGGGCGCCTGTTTCTGGTCGTGTTTCCCCTGAAGTTTGGCTGTCTCACGTGACGGAAAATGGGTCCTGCTCACCAGAAGCGCCCCCCGAAGGTTGATGCCCGTCTCGATAGTGACGTAATACGAGGCCTGCAGGAAGGTCCTCTGCAGGATCAGGGCCAAGAACAGTAGCACGGCGAGGACCGTCGTCTTCTGAAGCAGCTCGCTGGTCGACAGGAAGTACACCCCGAAAAAGCAACCCTGACGCAAAAAAAGCAAAGGCGAAGATGCATCACTTTCTCAGTCGACAGAACAGGTGCCACATAAAAGGGTCCATAAAACTCTGTCTCTGGCATTCCCATGGAGGCCCTAGGAGAAGGGCGGGGAACCACTGAGAGAGTGTGACCTGATGGGGGAATTTTCCATGTCACACAGGTATGCGGGTCTGCTCGGCCTCTGCCTCCGCGCCTGTTTACCTTTCAGCAGTCTGGCTTCTCCGTGCTCAGCCTTGGAGGTCACTCCAATCCAGACATGGAGACAGCGCCCGGCCGCATGAGCACAGAACTGCACTCACCACACTGGCTGAACTTGGATTGCTCACGTGTTTTCCCGACTTATACAGAATACATAAAACCTTCTTTACTGCTCTAGAATCAAATCCTGCTTCGTTCTATTGGCATCAGAAATAAATAGCTGATTTGAATAGAAGTGACATCCTGGGAAAAATGCTACCAGACAGGCTCGCCATGTCTTGAGCACTTCCCTTAGTTACACATTACAATTCTCTTAACGGTAAGCAACTTTGGTAAATCACTGTGCAAGCAGTGAAATTAACATCTGCCACACGTGAGCGAATTCGTGAGTGTAGTGGCCGAAAGGATCAGACATACGCACTTTATCCGCATCCAAGGTCGCGGTTTCATTCTTCAGGCCCTTGACGATACCCAGAATGCACAGCGGGCCGGCGAAGCCCAGCAGGTCAGCCAGGTAGCGGAAGGTGCTGCTAAGCAGGATGGCCCTGCCGAAGGCTCGGTATATGGACCTCCAGATGGAGGGGGCCTTCTCGGGATCATCGGAATTCTGCTGTCAGGATAAATAAAGGGAAGAAGCCTGTATCTCTGCTCTTATGGATGCTGCTCAATGTTCTGTATTAGAAACTTTACTGAAAGAGCATCTGTTTGATATAATGGCTGCCGACCCTTTCTAGGGTGCTTAAAATGTTCTTCAAAGAACAGATTTTTATATCATAGCAGTTTTCATGCAATTTCCTGTACATAGCAAGCTTTTCTCGTCAATGACTTAGCTATACAAAGCTTACAATAACATGCTCCTGTCAGTTTGCATAACTGGATTCAGCCGGATGCTGAAGCAACTCAGGTCAAGAACCAGAGCTCAAAATCAGAGCTTGAACTTGCAGCTTTCTGTTTCCCAGGGAAAAGCTTGAACTACTAAGCTACATCCGTCCCATGAGTGGGAGCCACTCACCCTCTGCTCCTCATAGGCGTCCTTCAGACTTAGGTAGTTGGTCAGAGCTCGCATGGCGATAGGCAGCTTGCCAATCTTTTTCAGCTCAATAGGTCTCTTGTGGGCACCAATGATGAGAGGATTCATCCACCAGTAGGTGGCTTTGGACAGGAGGTTGACAAAGGGCTGCAGAAAACGCACCCCCAGGTCCTGCAGGTCCTCGGGGGGCTTGACCTTCTGGGGGTTGGTAAAGAAGACGTACTTCTGCAAGACAGGGTTGAAGGCGAAGCCCAAATGATGTGATATGTTCTGCTGAATGTTTTAGTGAGTCCTACGTGGTTTCATGCAATTCATGTAACTTAATCACTTTGAAAGAAAATGTCTAGGCTTGACTTTTGTCTGTTAACCCAACTCAAGGACCTACATCAAAGTCAAAGTGAACTTTATCGTCATTTTATCGCATGAACAATAAAATAAGGTAGCAGGTTCTCTGATTATGAGAATAAAACCTTTCATATTATTACAATTACAGCATCCAGCCCAGGACACTGGGAGAGTGGATGACAGCCAGAGAACGGCAGGCTTACCCTCACTCGGATGACGTTGATCTCCACGCCCATCAGCAGCCCATACAGAATGACCAGCAGCGCTGTGATGCAGAACCTCAGATGCTGGATGCCCAGCTCGTACTCGGCGTACTTCCACAGCTTGATGGACTTGGTGATGAAGGCCAGCACCCAGTAAATGAAGAGTGCTGGACAGCATTTGCAAATGGAATTCATGAAGGAGGTCATTATTTCACCACTGAAAGCTTTGTTCTGAAGTGTTTTAAACATGTCACTGACGCTTTCTAACTTATTACTACAATTCATTATCTATCCGAGGAACTGAAGACTCAAACTGTAGAAACAAGTAGCTGGCTGGGAAAAAAAAACAACCACTAAAGGAATCAAGCAATACTTTATATAATGGAGTGATGTATAGCCCCAGCCTTCACTCTTCTCATCACCGTTTGGCATCTCTCAAAAGAAAAGCTCAAATTTTCACATACAGCCTATGGTTGACTTACCTAGAAGTAATTTGGGGAAGTTCGAGGTTTCAATGTTGTGGTAGTAAATCACTGACGTGGTGGCGGCTATGAAGCCTATGAACGCGGGCATGAAGAGATGGAGGTGGTTCGTGGTCATGTGCCTGACAGTCCGTGAGAAGAACAAAAACACCATTTGTCATTACACAACCGACCATCCTGCAAACGGAGATATTCCTTACACATTGTCCTTTTCAATATATGGGAAACTAATAAGTGCCATAATTATTTTATGACTATTTCTCAAACTTCATAACCTCAACAATGGTCACAGAAGACCTGGAGTCTGACTATAGGGAGACAGTTTTATCTGGACAAACACATTATTTGTTCTTCAAACTACTAAGTAATACTGTCTTCAAACTAATGAATAGAACATGTCAATGCCAACACAATATATACTGATAAATTGCTATAATGAACCATCAAGCAGTGATTTAGTTATCTGAAGTAACTATGGCAATTGGTGGCATTACAAATAAGGGGGCTTAGAATAACTCAAACAAACGCTTAACATATAGAATGATTTGTGACTCTCAGGCCAACATCTCATCTTCCTGGGCATGACAGAGCTTGTAAAACATCTATCCAGGGACGGTAAGGACAGCTGAAGCCCCACCCGTTTGAGACGACTCCCTCGGCGATCTCGCACACATGCACGAACAGCAGGGTGAACGTCAGAACCCATCGAATGTTGTGTCCGGGAAAGTGCAACCATGTATTGTGATGGATTTGTACCTTGGAGCTCTGGGTGCCCCAACCTAAATGGGGGGGGGGAGAGACAGCAAAGAAATTCACTGTCTCTCTGGGTACATATATAGGTCATCGCTAGGCCTACATACAGTCATTCTTAAACGAAAACATGACAACATGGCTTAAAAGCTGCAAAATTATATCGGTTTCCGTTTAATGAAAAAAATTGGTCACTTTTTGATATTAACTTAAAGTAATTTCCCTTTGCATAACACAGAAATAGCTACGCAAATAGGCAGTAGCTCTGGGACCTTCGGAATGCGCGGAGCTCATCAAAACAACATCACGATAGGATTTTTCCTGGAATCGTGAATTAAGAAGTTCTGAGAGCAAAGCAGACAGGCCACTGAGTGCCTATAAATGAACCCCTGCTTTCAAGAAAAGGACGTTTCCTGAACCTCCATAAACCATGACTATGCATAGGCCATCAACAGTGAGAGAACGCAAAATGACCGCAATCCCATGAACACACTCTTGTTGAAGCAACCACATTTGTAGACAGGTGAAACAGAGACGGGTTATACTGACAGCCAGCTGGCTACTCTGCTGATTCCACAGACATGGAGGACTTAATGTACTTCATTGTGTGCTATGATGGCTTAGGCCCTTAGAATACCAGAACACCTTTCAAGTTAATTGTTTCTTTAAAAATAAAAATGCTTCATTACTGCATAACCATGCTATTCTGCGTGACATCAGAAAGGGGTGGAGCCAAGCTCTGAGCTACACTATTGCAAGTGGCTTAACCAAAGACTGCCACAGTTATCTGACAGTACTTTGGAAAGCAAATGACTGCAGCTGCGCATTTATAAGCAAACCTCAAATGTAGTACAGAGACTTCGGTGAGGAGCTACATTCATCCCTCCTACAGCTGCTTATCTAATAAAGTCTTACACTATTACGGTGGATGCATGTACTGAAAGATGTAGCAGGGAAGGTTAAGTGACGTACCGATAAAGAGAATAGGGAAGGTGATGAAGAGGAGGAAGACATGCGGGACCAGGTTCAAAGCGTCCACAAAACAGGCGTTGTTTAGGACCCCGTTGTCCACGCTGTAGGAATCATTCCTGTCGTCACCACAGAAGGAGAGAGCCAAGGCGACTGATTGGTCCTAGGGAACCCAGAGGCGGGGCCAAAAAAACAAAGCGTGACATCAGCATCATGTGTCACCTACCAATATGTGCATGATGCTCTTTAACAGAAACCCTTAACATATTTTCTGAATGCCCCCAAAAATGCAAAAGGATATGTACACTAAGCAGGTATTTAAAGAAAAAGGCACAAACAAGCCGATGTACAAATGAGAGACAACATCTTGTCATCCTTGTATTAATAACTATGAAGAATAAAACATCTCAGTAAACCACTCATAATTCATAAAAGATAACTGTTTTTGAAAGTGTTTGAATAGTAGAAACAATATAATATATACTAATATCACAAGTACTACTACTACTGCCGCTAATAATAATAATAATAATAATAATAATAATAATAATAATAATAATAATAATAATCAGCATAATCACAAGGCTGTGTATAACGTAGAAAAAGGCTGAATGGTGTTTTGCCTTCACTTTTGGAGATTCCTGCCATCGACATTATTAACATTATCCAAACCCCCAGCTGTTATAGAAATTAACTGCTCTTGTATTTTTATTACAACAGAAACATTGGCCAAAAAAGGAAGGTATGCACACATTCATAACACAAGGCGTTAGTTAACCTAAACTGTTATTTATTTATTTTTGCCTTTGGCAGATTAGTAGTTCACCTTAATTGAGAGATGCTGTGAATTTTTAAGGCATAAGAGGCAAATTGCGTTTGTATTTTTATGTACGTATGTTTGTATGCATGTAATTAACATTAACTTCATTTAAAAACTAAAACTAAAAAATCAAAACAATACCAGTTCATAATGCACAGTTTAACAATTTCTTTGTGGTCGGTACAAGCATTAAATTTATTACATATTTATTAATGTACATTAATATTATTATTTATTTTTTAACTGTTTTTTTCGTTTCGATTATTGCCATATTATTTTCAGGACATACATATATGAAACTAATATTTACATGGATACTATAAGACATTCATTCAATATACGATTCTGTATACGACACAAAATGAAAACTCCAGTAACAGCTACACTGAAAGTGAACTAGTGGACAAAGTTAGCCTAAGTGAAGTAACGATATCCAGGGCAATGTAAATGTTAAATGAATCTTACCTTGTGTACCTTTGGACAGTATTCCATAATTTCTTTGGGATTTTTAGCGAGTGCAGACTAGCGGAGTCGGTGTATCGGACGCGGGGTATTTTTAGCCCAGGCGAATCAGCTGCTCACACTGCCGTCTCCTATCGGGTTTCCAAACTTGTCCAAGTCTACTGGGACAAAGTTTCCAACAGCATGGAGCTTTTCAGTCGACCAGGGAGGTTCTGTTTGGGAAAAGACACCTTACATTATCTGGCATGGGAAGAAAGGACATATATATTTCTGCAGTAATAGATGCGGCATGTTGCAATAATGACATTCGTACTTGCGCCATCCTTAGACAACACATTGTAAGAGACCACGTAATGGCCCACTTTAGAAATTGTAATACTTAATGAAATAATTAATAAACGGCAGTTTTTTTTATCATAAGAAACTGAGAAATTGAGTAATGTCATATAAAGGTGAGTCGCTTAACGCACATGCGCATTTGTGTTTACATCCAGTGTCACCCGCGTTTTAAGAATGAAAAGCGGTGCATTTCTAACCAGAAAGGAAGAAAGCGTTTAAACCATTTCGATGAATGAAGCACTGCAGGATCTCCTGCTTTTACAGCAGAGAATCACACCGAAGGCCATTCATCGCCGCATCGGGCTGTGTGACTTTCAGCGACAGTGAATTGGAACACCAAAAATCGCCATATTCCCCATCGCACTCACTTAATTACATCCTGGTCTGCTGCATCAGCGATCTAGCGTGTTCAGCGTGGTCGGGCACCTTCACAGTCGTTGCGTCTCGGCGTTGCATCGCTGTGCAGTGATGTTGCACGCGTTGTGGAGATAAATGTAGCTCCGAGGTAGCTGAAGCTGAGAGACTGCATACCCGCCCTGCATCAGCATCCCGCCGAGTCCTGAGCTGCGGAGGATCCTCCGGAGCTCGGGGGACGGGGATGTAACAGCGCCGACGGTGCATATATAGGTCATACGGACTGTAAGGGCATAAGAGTTGGGGGCAATGTTTAACAATGCCTAATACACTTAAACGACTTTCTTGGCCAATAGAAACGGAACTCTGAATAATGCATATTTATTTATATGTATTATATTGAAATGTAAATAATAACGCAATTGATATAGACTAGAATAACGCAAAGCAATACCACCTAACATTTAATTGATCACTTTGTGGTCTCTCTCATGGGGGTGAGAAAATACATTTGTTATGTAATGCACACAGGTCCCTTATAATACTGTATAACCAGGGTAGAATGACCTTTTTGGGGGGTGTTCCATATATACCTGGGAACTGGTGCCCTTATTTTTACAAGGTTAAAGCAATACTTAACATTAAAACCATAAGAAATGTATCCCAGTGACCTTTGCATGTTCTCCCTGTGTTTATGTGGATTTCTCCGGATACTTTGGTTCCCCGCAATTCCAGTGACATTGCAAATCGGCGTATCTAAATCCGTTACAGCATGTAATTGTGTGTGAGTGTTCTGTGATGGACTTGCAACCCCTGCCATCAGCTCTGAGATTCCTGGGATAGACCTCAGGCTCATTGCAGCCCTGTAGCGAATTAGTGGGATGGATGGAGAGATGGATGGATGGATAAATTTTTCAAGGTTTTCAGTAGGACTGGAGGACATTGCTCCACCTGTAGTTGGATCTAGGGTCTTCTGTTCTGTTGCTTTCTGCTAGTTCAGCGTAGGGGAGAATTTGCGCACCTCTAGTAACCGGCTGAACTGAATCAGGTGACCAGACATTTACAGATACCGACCAGTAAGCATTGTGTTCATACGTGAGCTGAAGCTCACCGGGCTCGAATCCCCACAGGTGAGACAGATACAGGCAGAACAGTAATAGTCACTGGTCTGTGCTGGTGACTCCTGAGGACTTTGTGGGACTGAGCTGCTCTTACCCTCATTTTTTTTCATGATGTAACAATGAAAGAGTCAATTCTCTGTGACCGCTGCTTCAGCATCAATCTCCTGTAATGTATAAAGAGTGCTTTCCATCGCGTTTTGCTTTTTATCAGAGGTTTATGTCAGGGGGCTACAGAACCTGCTCCGTATGCTTTAAAACTCTCTGAATGTGTAATAAGACACTGGTCCATTTCATTAAAAAGCAAATGCTTTTAAAAGGATGAATTTTCATATTTCACCAGATCCAAAATGCATTAGCAGTACTACATCTCTGCAATTCGTCACATAGCGAATCACATTATTTGCTTATATACTGGACAGACCCACCTTTACCCAAGCCAGTATGCTGGCTGGTATACTTTTCTTCACTCTTATAGTCGTGTATTTGCTGATGTTTTTTAGGCCATTTCCATCCTGGGTTTTGAATCTGAAGCCTTTTTTCAGCCTATTCCTGAGCTGTTACACACAATTCCCAAGTTCAGGATGCCCTCATTCACAAACATTTGTGGCCTGGGCCTCACTGGGGCCCTGTTCTCCCTCAGCTGTTCCTTCTCCGACCAGCATGGGAAACATCATAACGACACGTCCAGCCGGGATCGCACACTTATTTATCACTCCCTCCGTTTGTCTGACTCAGAGGGGACTGAATTCAGGCCCTTAACTCTTTCCGTTTGCTTTTGGGGTAGTTTGCTTACTGTGCTGAAAACAGAAGGGGAACCCTCCTGAAAAGGCGTTTGAGAATTAGACAGACACTTTGTTCTTTATCCACAGAGGCTAATATCCGACAATATGGCCGTTCCCCAGGGAACCGGTCTGCCTTTGTTCTCTTAATCGAATACGAAGACATTTAGTTAGTAGTTAGAGGCACCCTTTGATGACATTGTAGGGGAAACTGGCACCAAACCACAAAGAAGGTCAAGGGATGGATCGCTCATTCACAAAATCAACAGAGAAAGGATGCTGAACTGGTGCCTCGTGCTTCAGGACGGGTTGGGACTTTACATGCTGGGAGCGTAACTGGGAGTGTGCACACCCACTGCTCATTTAGCGGCTATATTGGTTAGCAACCATTCACAAATACCACAATAATAAAACAATTCATTTTCAGACGAACACGGTTCATTTAACGACCACATTTGTATGTCTGACAAACATGCACAAGTGGAGTGAGAGAGACCTTTGAAGCAGGATGTACAAAATGTTGCTGAAAATATGTACTTTATGAAGGATCAAAGAAATCAAGCATGAACGGCTGAAGTAAAGTCGCAAGCACAGTCCCGTACAGGCCCTGGCTAACGCGATTATCACTTAATGACCAGGCCATCGGAATGGAAGTCGGCTGTTAATTGAGGAGTGGATATGCGTGTCTGTCTTGCTTGTCGTGGTTAGTGCACTGACCATGGGGTCTGAGAGTAACGTAATTTCAGTCCTCTGTGTCCTGTACATATGGCAGAATTGACAATAAAGACTTTTGACTCTGACTGCAGCTTCATTATTGCCATCTTACCATATTAGGATACCTACACCAACGTCTGTGCACCAGGCCCAACATGGCTATCATGTGATGTCAGTTCTCCAGGGTTACCATCCGACAAAAGCCCAGAGTGAGAGCGTGGACTGGGCGCAGAGGATCACATCTCTGGGGTGAATGAGGTTTCCTGGCGTGGGAAGGCTCCCCCAGTCAGACGCTGGGGAAAAGTAGGACACCAAGTGACTGAAAAGTCAGCACTATGAGAAATATCCAAATTCCCATCAGATAGAGGTTAGACCGGACCACAATGATCTCAACGAGGAAGTGAGGTGTGTATCCCTGGCTGCATAATAGCATAGCTGCATTAACAAAGACTGCTTATGGGCCCATTCTGTGCAGGGAGTCCCAGTGGCCTATTGGTTAAGGCATCAGCCTCTAGAGCTGGGGATTGTGGGATTGTGGGTTTCCTCATTATGCAACAAAAATGATGGAGTCCTGGAAAATCCCAATAGCATAAGTACATACTTAATAATCCCCATGGGGTTAATAAAGTATATTGGGTAACGCAAGGTTAACTGCACCTTCATAATGCATTCTTTATGCATTCATAGAACATTCAGTGCACCTTTATAATGCATTCATAGAACATTCATAAGCAGTATGCAAATACACCTTAACATCCCTTAACAGCCTTAATATACATTAATAACAAACATTACATGATTATAAAATTATAATGTTTGTTATTATTATATAATGTTTGTTACTAATATATATTACAGCTGTTAAGGGATGTTAGGATGTTAAGGTGTACATACATGATGTTTATGAATGTTTTATGAATACATTATGAAGGTGTGCTGAACGTTTTATGTAAAGCGTCACCGTATATTGCATATGTTTTACCTAATTTTAACGCAGTCAATGAAGCTTTATATGACAAACCACAAGATGCCGCTGCCTGAGTATACCTGTTGAAATGAACTAGAACTAGAATTAACTAGAATGCCACTAGCAGGAAGTTCTAGAGCACAGAACTGCTATTCAGCTAATTGCCCTATTTTTCTGTCAATGGCATTCAATCAGCAAGATCTGACAGTATGTTTTTAGTACATATGTTACCTTTAGGTAATTTGCACCAAGCTTCAAATCAGCTTCTTTCCTTGCATTACTAGTCATGGGAAAACGAAGTTCACAATGAGCAAGTTGGGCCCAACAGGATGAGTCACGTGATTTACTTGGATCTAGCCAAAGATGGTTGATGGGCTATGTTTAAAAGTCTGTAAGTCTGGTGATGAAGGGTCTTAAAGTGACAGAAAATAAATAAATAAAATGATATATTTTATTAAGTATTTTAAATAGTTTAAAAACATATAATACAATGTGTTAAAGTATTTTGTTACAGATTACATTTTTTCAGTCCAGAAAAAAATACAAATTACGAACTTCTCAAAAGTAATTTAATACATATTTTAAATACATTCAATTGAAATACTGCCCATATCTGCCTAAAGCTTATCCCAACAACTTGCATACACACCGGCCCTTTGCGGATTAGCACTATTGCCTCAGACCTCTGGGACCAGCGGTCAAGCCTCCTTGATTCCTCGAGGTTCCACGTGTGGGGAGTTTGCATGTTCTCCCTCTGTCATTATGAGCTTTCCTTCAGGTACGGCAATTTCCCCCCACAGTTCAAAAACATGCTGAGATTAATTGGAGTCAGCAAATAGGTGTGAATGAGTGGTGTATGCGAGTGTGCACAACAACGTATCAGTGCCCCATCCTGGGTTGCTCCCTGCCTTGCACCCCCCCCCCCCCCCCCGAAGGCCCTACACAGGCCAAGAGAGTTTGGATAAATGGATGGAAATTGCCTATAGTCTGTGTAGGTGCCCTGTGACGGACTGGCATAGTGTTCAGGGTGTACTCCACTATGGTACCCCTTGTTGTCATGGATACAGTCCAGGCAGCAAATGGTCAGAAGAGAGAAGGATGGAAAAATACCAAGAGATAAGGCGCTCATGCACAGCACACATCAATGTGCATCGGAAACCCTGTACGAGATGAGCCACGGTGTATTAAAGGTGATAAGATCGCCTGCGAGCCGGATGGGAGAGATGAAACTGCAAGTGACGAGCCAAGAGGCAGATATTAATGGAGCAAGATTTAATCACTAATAGCTGAAAAGCTTCCAGGCATCAATCACAGCCCAGTAAGGGTCATGATGACCGGGAGCTCATCCTGGGACGAGGAAAGCGAAAGGCGGGGCATGCCTCTGTAATATGGCAAGTACAGCAATGGCGAACACGCACAGCAGTACTCGGGGAAAGCTAAAGCGACCAATCAGCCTCAGTTGCATCTGGCCTAGTGCTTGTGGAGAAAAGTCACACATGTCCTGGCAGAACTCTGCCTACGGTATGTTTAAAGTAGACTTGAACACATAACACTGGAGATGGTGTCTGCTGTTTGAACAAACCCCCCCCCCCCCTTTAAAACAGCTGGGATCCATACCCAATCTCCCCCTGCCACGAGGTGAGGTCTACAACCTCCCTTGGGGGAGAGCTTAACTCAGCAG